ACAACCCGCGAGTATTCTTCCTCGCTCAGCACCGCCAGCTCCGAGAGTCCCTGGGCGATGAGGCTCGCGGTGAGGACATGCTGCCGGCTCACGAGGCAGGACTCCCCGAACCAGGCGCCCTTGCCCAGGATCCTCTGCCTGTCAGTGCCGCTGCTGCCGGTCGACGCTGGTGTAAAATCGTCGTCCTGCGAGGTGCGTCGAGCGAATGGCTTCTCCCCAGCCTGGACGAACTCCTCGATCGGCACATCCAACCTGTCCGCCCAGCTTGCGGTGAAGCGGGCCACGAGCGCGCCGTTGACAACGAAAACGAGGTCCTCGACGAGCTGCCCGGCCTCTCCCACGAGGTCACCAGCGGAGCAGTGCACGAGCATGTGCGCCTGTGCCAGCTCTGCCACGAAGGAGTGGATGGCTCCCCTGAAGAGGGGGAATCGCCCGATCGTGCTGCTGAGAATCGCAAAGGAGAACGTGCGCTGGAGTGCCGGCGAGAGGCGTGCGAAGAGCTCGGGGTCCAGCGGGGCGACATTGACCTCGTTGCCGAGCGCCTGCCGCAAGCTGCGCTCCACCTTGCGCTGCAAGCCCAGAGGGACGCTGTGACGCCGCATGAACTGCGACATGGTGGCCACGCAGCTCTCCACCTTCTCGTCGAAGAGCCTATCGATCACCTTGGAGAGTGCCGCCACTACGCTCCCGAAGAAGATCGGGGATAGGAACATCACGAACATGGCGAACACCCTCGCCATGGTATTGTACGGATGGATGTCGCCGTATCCCACAGTACTCAGAGTCATTGTCACCCAGTACATATCGCTCACGTACGCGTGCCACCAATCGCCGCCCTGGCAATACGTATCCGGATGCTCTTGGCCGGCTCCCGACGCGACGTGCAGTCCGATGTCGCACTGCATCAGCCGCCAGAAGCAAGCCATACTGTGCAGCAGCAACAGCATCATGAGGCCCCACTTCAAGGGCGATAGGACGTAGACCCGGCACTCCTTCATGAGCAGGGACATCAGTGGTGCCAACCTCGGCGCGCGCAGCAGCTTCAGGACCATGCACGCGCTGTAAGCTGCGGTGCCCTCGGGGACGAGGAAAGCTGGCCACGCAGAGAGCAAGTCCATCAGAAGCCACGTGCGCGCGTAGTGCGCTGCTATCTTCCGAGCGTCCACGACCACGGACCCACTCTGATCGTGGAGCGCACTGCGAAACAGGACCAAGATGAAGACCAGCCACAGGGCGTCCGCGAAGTGCATCGGAATCGACCAGATGGGATAGACCCTGTCGCTGTGGAAATAAGCCAGAACGATAGGGCTCAGAAGCCCCGTGTAAACGACCCCAACAATCATTAGGATCGCCAGGACGACGTGCACCGGGCTCTGAGGCGAGAGCATGAAACGAGGCATGCTCACCTCGTCGTCCAGGAGGGTTCCACCATTGCCGAGGATCACCGACCGCGCGACATCCTCGGCCTTGCCCGCCAGCACCTGATTTACCCTGGACGCGAAGGATGCCGTGCTGGGCGTGTCGCCGGAAGGCACGATCCCGAAGCTTTTTCTTGTGCCCTTCCAGAATCCCGAAGGGTCTCGAGCTGTGTCGCTGCTGGGATTGCCCACGCCGTAAAGCGACGTGACCGTGTACCTCGGCGACGTTTGCACTGAGGCGCTCGAGAGGGTACGGTGGCTGAAACCGCGGAAGATCTTGTTCTTCTTCGTGAGGCCCCCACTGGACGGGTTCGGTGGACTCTCGGCGCAAGTGTGAGAGGCCTGCGAGGCGCCCGATCGTTGACTCCCCATCACGCGTCCGACACCTGGCAAGCTCAGAGGGTGCGTCGGCGTGAGCGGGGGCGCCGCCTTGGCGTCCTCATCCATGATGAGGACCTGGAGGTTCTCGTTGAGCGCACCGTCGCAAGTTCCGTGCGTCTCGTCCTCCACGGGGTCTCGGAAAGGCTGGGCCGCCGCGCGCGGCGACGGGGTGGAATTATTGAGCTTGGCACCTCTCCAGTCGTTGCCAGCTGAGGTCGTTCCGTGACATCCTGTGCGAGACCGCGTCGCGGCCTATGGAGTAACGAAACATTGCACAACACACTATCTGTCGGAGGTCCAATCGGATTTCTCGGGTCGGCGCTGGACCGAGCTCCCTTGGCGCGCGAAGCGCGCCACGGGCGGCGCAGGAGGCGCCGAAAGGGAGGGCCCAGCGCCGACCCAAGATAACTAGAGGCTTCCTGGATGGGGTCCGAGTAGATGGGGTCGGAGGATCGCGCCGCATCGTGGATACATCGGCGATGCATCGGCGATGCGTCGACGATGAACTGGCGATGCATCGTCGACGTCGGCGATGCATCGGCGACATCGACGTGAAGCAAATCGGGCTGCACATCGAGCCGCATCGGCGATGCATCGGCGATGCGGCGCGACCCTCCGACGCCATCCACTCGGACCGCCTCTGGGAGGCCTAGAGTCGGGGAGACGAAAGACTCGGGTGCGGGGGACTCGGGTTGGCCTGGCGGGGCCACCATACAGATGACGAGACCCAATCTGAAACTTGACGCGAGCTCCAGCTGCAGAAATCCCACGAAAACTGGACCGTCAAAATCCAGGGCGCGCTCGTCAAAAAACGTCGGCACACCCGAGTTCCGGCTTACTCGAGTCTTACACTTCGGCCGCGGCCGCAATCGACCCTCGCAAGAAGCCCAACCCTGAGAACCCGTGCGCGAGGTGCACCCGAGGGGAAACCTGGAGCACCCTGCACGCAGCAGCTCCTTCAACGGCCGCGGGAACTCCCCGCGCCGCGCGAGGAGCGAAGCAACCCAGGAGACCCTGACGGAAAGCATCTGGTCTCTCTTGATGCGCGCCCCCACTGCACGTTTCCCCGATGGAACACCTGCGCGGCCCTCCGGCAGCCTCTGCTCGTGCCGTGGCTTGCTCTCCGCAGGAGGGCCCAGAATCGAATCGATGAGTCGGATCGGCGATCGACATGCATCGGATCGGCGGAAATCGGCAGCCGAGTCGGGAGAAGTCGAATCGGCGTGAATCGGCAGGCTGATAGGCCTCCATTGAGACATCGGATCCCGGATCGAAATCCGAAGCCGAATCGAATCGGAATCGGAACCCATCGAAATCGAGGTCGAATCGAATCGGAGCAATCGACATGAGTCCTGGCCTTGGGGGCAGCCCTCCACGACGCCCGCCGCAGCCCCGCGGAGGCCGCGCGCGGCGGCGTCGGGCAGTCGCTGGGCGCGTGCTCCGTCGCCCCGCTGTGCCGGCGGCTCACGGCGTCCATCACGAGCCCGAACATCTCCTCCGAGGCGGGGGTCGACTGCAGAATCCTCCTCCTCCTCCTCCTCCTCCTCCTCCTCCTCCTCCTCCTCCATCCTCCTCCTCCTCCTCCCTCCTTCCTTCCTCCTCCTCCTCCTCCTACTCCTCCTCCTCCTCCTCCTCCTCCTCCTCCCCTTCCTCCTCCCCGTCCTCCTCCTCCTCTCCTCCTCCCTCCTCCTCCTCCTCCTCCTCCTCCTCCTCCTTTTCTCCTTTTTCTCTCTCCATCTCCTCCGAGTCGGGGATCGACTGCAGATCATCCTCTCTCATCCTCTCCTCCTCCTCTCTCCTCTCTCCTCCTCCTCCTCCTCCTCCTCCCCGTCCTCCTCCCCGTCCTCCTCCTCCTCCTCCTCCTCCTCCTCCTCCTCCTCCTTCTCCTTCTCCAAGCTTGGTTTCGTCGTCGCATCTTCAGGAAAAATCCGCCGACCCCTTGGGGTCATCGGCGTGTGAGATGCTTCCCCCCTCCCCAAACCCCTCCCCCCGGAGCCTGGTCCGGTCGTTTTGGAGGGGGGGGGGGGGGGGTCCGGCCGGATTCCCCGGGATCCGCCGGCGCGGTCCGGGGGGGGTCATCCGCTCCAGAGAGTCTGCTGGGGGGGCCGCAAACGAGCGAAGAGGCTCCCAAGAAGCTCTGCAGACGGTCCAAGAGGGCCCCGAGTCGCCGAAAAAACACTCGAAGACGGTCAAGATGGCCTCCAGATGGCCCCAGATGCCTCCAAGACGCCCCAAGAAGCTTCCAAGACGCCTCCCAAGATGGCCCCAAGAGGCCAAAATCGTCGATTTCCATTGGTTTTTTCAACGTTTTTGGCCTTCGCGTTTTTTCGGGCTTCCGACGCTCCAAGACGGCGAAAGAAGCCCCCAAGACGGCATCAAGACGACCCGAGAGGCTCCCAAGTGGGCCCCAACACGGCCCAAGAGCGCCTCAAAACGGCTCAAGAGGGCCTTCAGACAGTCCAAGAGGGCCCACAGAGGGGCCCAAGAAAGGCTCCAGACGGGGACCACGAACCTAAAATTCTAGCCTTCCGCCCCAAAAGGCGCCAAGGAGGCCCCAAGAGGCCTCCAAGAGGCTCCAAGAAGCCCCCAAGAGGCCCCCAACAAGCCCAAAAAAAGCCCCAAGCTGCCCCAAAACAGCTCCCCAGAAGCCTCCAAACTGCCTCCCGCAGGCCCCCGAGAGGATTCTCACGACGACGGCGCCAGAGGCTCCCACAACGGTCAACGAAGCCCCCAAGATGGCCCCAAAAAGGTGCCCAGCCTACGCCGTCGAGTCTGTCGCCGCCATTGTCGTCCTCGTCGTGTTCTCCTGCTCCTTCTCATCCTCCTCTTCCGCCCCCTCCTCCCGTCTCCCCTCTCAGCTTTCTGTCTCGTATTCCCTCCACTGGCTCACTTTTCACCTTCTCCGCCTTTGGCTGCTCCCCCATCCTCCCTCCTCCACGTCCCCCTTATCCATCCCGTCCCCAGCGGTCAGATTCCTCGCAACTTCCGTGCCTTGTCGCAATGCTCGTCACTTGGTTCCGCCGGGCGTTTCGGAGGGTCTCTCCGCGGCGCTCGTCCCGCTTTAAAACACTTCGCGCACACAACTGGGTTGTTTCGCTTGAAATAATTCTTCTTCTGGTCTTTCGACAAATGGCCCCCGTCTGAAAACGCTGGTTTCTTCCCGTCCCCGTTCGGTGGGCACGCGGAGCATTCAAACTTTTTCGCCCCCGTGCGCGCATCGTGACACGCGCGGCACACGACTGGGCGATGCGCCTGGCCCGTCTTCCTATAATGTACTTTCTGGTTATCGGACAAATGGCTCAAGTCTGTGAACGCGGGCGCCTTCCCATCCGCCCCCGTCGGGCATGCTCCACAACGGAAAATCTGGGCCTCCGATTTTTCGTGGCACGCGCGGCACATGACCGGGCGATGCGTTTGGCCCGTTCTCCTGTAATGTTCTTTCTGACTGTCCGATAAATGGCTCACGTCTGTAAACGCGGGCCTTATCCATCCCGTCCCCAGCGGTCAGATTCCTCGCAACTTCCGTGCCTTGTCGCAATGCTCGTCACTTGGTTCCGCCGGGCGTTTCGGAGGGTCTCTCCGCGGCGCTCGTCCCGCTTTAAAACACTTCGCGCACACAACTGGGTTGTTTCGCTTGAAATAATTCTTCTTCTGGTCTTTCGACAAATGGCCCCCGTCTGAAAACGCTGGTTTCTTCCCGTCCCCGTTCGGTGGGCACGCGGAGCATTCAAACTTTTTCGCCCCCGTGCGCGCATCGTGACACGCGCGGCACACGACTGGGCGATGCGCCTGGCCCGTCTTCCTATAATGTACTTTCTGGTTATCGGACAAATGGCTCAAGTCTGTGAACGCGGGCGCCTTCCCATCCGCCCCCGTCGGGCATGCTCCACAACGGAAAATCTGGGCCTCCGATTTTTCGTGGCACGCGCGGACAGCCGTCCAGGGCCCAGAGGCTCCCAAGACGTCCCCAAAAGGGCGCCAAGACGACCCACGAGGCGCCCAAGTCCATGGGCTCGCTCCGGAGCTCCAAAACGACCCCTGAGACCTCCCAAGAAGGCCCACAGGCAATCCAAGAGGACCCCGACGCGCCAGAGAAAGGAAGAAGAACCAAAAAAAAAAATGATCGACCAAGATGACATCCAGACCACTCATGAACCCCTCCGGCCGCCTCACAGAGCCTCCAACAGAGCCCCTCCCAAAACCGGCGATCGCCCCAGAAAAAAAAACAAGGGGTCGGCGGATGTGGCGTAAGCTTGAAGAATCAGCTAGCATCCGTTCGTAGATTCGACGACAAGAATCATCCTTCTCAACCTCCTCCTCCTCCAAACTTGGTTTCGTCGTCGCATCTTCGGGAACAAATCAGCTGGCATCCGTTCGCGGATCCGACGACGAAACTAGTTCTGGAGCTCCACCGAGTGCGTGGTCGATCCCGCTCCTGCTGGCTCTCGAGCTGGTTCTCCAGGCGCGAGGACGCCGCCTGCAGCACCTGCAGGGCTGGCCCGAGCCGGCGGGGCGGCGGAAGAAGGGCACACTTGGGAAACCCGACACGGTGCGGCGATAGACCGTGCGGTGACCTCGAAATCTCCCAAGACCTCATTTACCAGCCTCGAACTTATCCCTATCCCTAAGATTGACACGCCAAAAAGCGATGACAATCTTAGGGATGCGCCCTCAAAAAATAAGGGAATCCCTAAGATTGGCATCGTGATGAGGAGATGCCCAGCATAGGGATAGGGATATGTTCCAGGCTGGTAACTCATCGCACGGTTCGTCGACGCACGGCTTCGGGACCTCTCGGATGCCCCAGTCGCCCTAGAGACGTCCTCAGAGACCGACCCGAGTCCCAGAACCGTGCGGCGACCCCGCATCCCCACCGACTCACCACACGGTGTGGTCACCACCCCGATTGGGGACCCCAAGGCACACCTCTGCACCCCTCCACAGCGCGCGCCTCGCGCGCCAGAGGGGGGCGCCGCAAGCGCCGGGCGTGCCCCCCCCCCCCCCCCCCGCGGGACCGGATCTGCCCGGGCTGCGCACGCGAGTTGCGCACGCGAGCTTCGCACGCGGGCTGCGCACGCGGGTTGCGCATGTCACTGCACCGGCCTTGCAGACGTGCTGCAGCGGATTTCTGCGTGGACTTCTGCGTGGATTTTTGCCCGGAACGGCGAGCGAAAAACGAAGTGAATTTCGCGTGGACTCTTTTTGGTTTTCATTCCTGGCCCCAAAAAATCCGCACGAAGTTCACCTTGAAATTCGAAACGAAATCCTCCAGGACTCTCTGGGCCCATCCTATCGTTTTCCGAACGAAATCCGCTCTGCGATGTTGGCGCCATGACGCATGTTTAGGCACCCCCACTGTAGCACACCGCCTTCATTTGGAGTCATCGCTGGCCTGCTGCATGACCCCGCCCCGCTGTTGGGCAGACGATCGTCGCTGTCCATCGGCCAGCACTCGGCGTGAAACCCGAAGGCCTAAGCGAACCCTGCCCGAAACGAGCAGCAACTGCCGCCAGCTATCGCTCCGCCACGACAAGCAATCGCACCCGCTTCGGCCCTGTCGGCATGCAGGGTCGAATCGATCGACGCGAAGACCCCGTCTTGGAAGGGGTCTGCCCCAGAAGTGTACGAAAAACAGGCCAGGGCTACTCGGCGGTGGACAAACCTCCCTTTAGTAGACCTCCCCTTAGTGAAAACGGCCTGGGACCGAAACCAACGGATCTGGACCCGCAAGAATGACGGCCGCGACGCCCTCTCGCGAACCGAAAACGGCCAATTCCTTAATCGACGTGTCAGGGTAGGAGGTCTGTCCACCCCCGAGCTACTACAAACGCGTAGGAGTGTGTGGGGTCCAGACAGAATGTGTAAAGCAACGGACGGCACAACAAGCGGATGCGAGCAACAAACAGGGAAAGATGGCGGGGCGGGTGCCCGAGGGCTCCGGGCATCAACAACAAACAACCGATAGACTCGGGTCGTGCATAGCCTTCGACAGGCGGATTTGGGACAACATCTTTAAAAAAAAACATTCAACAAATTATCCCAGTGCGACCCTACCTAGGAGTTGGAGCATTTAGGAAAGCAACATCTACATCTACACCGACAGCTACATCAACATCTATGTACACCTGCATCTACATCTACATCAACATCAACAGCGAGACTCACATCTACATCTACATCTACACCTACATCTACACCTGCATCTACATCTACATCTACACCTACATCCACATCTACACCTACACCTACATCTACATCTACACTTTCGCATTGGCTTTGCTTTTGCTTTGCATTGCCTTGCCTTTGCTAAGCTGAGCTAAGCTAAGCTAAGTTAAGCCAGGCTAGGCTAAGCTATGCCATGCTAAGCTACGCTAAGCTAAGGGGACGTAAGCTAAGGTAAGTTAAGCTAGGCTAAGCTAAGATGAGATAAGCGACGCTAAGCTAAGGGGACGTAACTGGGGGAACCGCGGGGCGGATACTGGGGGAACCGCCCGGGGCGATTTGCACTGCCCGGCCCTTTGAGCACACACGGTAAGAACCCTTCTAGGCAGAGCCCAGGTAGGGAATTACCGAAAATATGAAAAAACGTCCCCATACGATGTTTTATTAAACTACTCTTGAACATTCCTCCTGTCGAGGGACAGGCCCGAACGATAGACACAATGAGGGAGGGACATTTGATCACAAGAGCTTGGGTGGTGGGTCGGGTGCCGGGGACCTCCGGTTACAACAAGAAATCAACCGACCCACGCTTGCCGCGGGCGAGATGGCATGTGGAACAATTGGCTGTCCCCCTCCCTCTTTCCCCCTCCCCTGGGGTCCAAAATCCCGTCTGAGGTGGGGGGAGGAGCTCCCCAACGCACCTCCGGGGCCCTCGAGCCGCCAAACCCACCCCCCGTGGTCGCCAAGATGCCCAAGAAGGCTGGATAGGCCGCAAGAATATCCAGGATGGCCTCAGCATGGCCCAAGACCCCACAAGAGAGCACCTAGAGGACCCCCAGCAGAGCCTCCAGAGGCAACACATCATCGACTTTCCATCGTCTGTTGAACCATGTCCGAGATCTTGCCATTTCGGGCTTCTGAAACTCCTAGATGACCTGACAGGCCTCCCAGACCAGCTCACGACGGCCCAAGAGGCCCCCAAGCGGGCCGAAGGCGGCCAAAGAGGGCCCTCAGAAGGCCCAAGGGGACCCCAAGACCACCAAACTAACTTCGATACGGCCCCAAGAGGGGCCCAAGCGAGCCTCAAGAGGGGCACCCGAAGGACCCCCACCCCCCACAAGATGGCCCCCAAGACCTTCAACATGCCCCCAAGTGGCCCCAAGAATCCCCCAGAGGGCCCCGCCCCCTGGGCCTCCAAGGGGCTCCCAAAAAGCCTCGCCAAAGACGCGACAGGAAGGACGAGAAGGACGAGTCGGCAACAACTACACCCAGGCAGCGTGACTGGAAGCGGCAAACAACTGCAAACAATCCATATGAGCTCAGAAGCTTCACGTGTCCTCCTCTGTGGGTCGGCGGAGTAGCGTGAGCCTCTGTAGGAATGGGCACTCGAAAAAGAAGGATACGAGACAGCAAATGGGACTGGGAGGGTGAGGTAATGCGACGGAATCTCGAAGAATGCTATGGATATGCGCGGGGATTCGCACGAGAAAAAAAAGGAAACAACACGAACGTGTTCGTCTGTAGGAATGAGCACTCGAAAAAGAAGGATACGAGACAGCAAATGGGACTGGGAGGGTGAGGTAATGCGACGGAATCTCGAAGAATGCTATGGATATGCGCGGGGATTCGCACGAGAAAAAAAAGGAAACAACACGAACGTGTTCGTCTGTAGGAATGAGCACTCGAAAAAGAAGGATACGAGACAGCAAATGGGACTGGGAGGGTGAGGTAATGCGACGGAATCTCGAAGAATGCTATGGATATGCGCGGGGATTCGCACGAGAAAAAAAAGAGAGGAAACAACACGAACGTGTTCGGCTTCCTGAGAACATCCGAAACACAAGGAACAAAGTTCGTGAGGAATCCTTAAACAGTTGAATGCTAGTCGTCGGAATATCACATATCATTAAGGAATCCTGGGGACATCGCTTACGTTTCCCACGAATTCCTGGGAGCCCACGGGGTTCATGACAAAGTATGAAGGAATGCATCAGGACACCCATGAAAGAACCCATATGGATGTTGTAGAGATGCGCATACACACTCAGGACACACTCTCGGGACATAAACAGGAATTAGATGGAACCCTTGGGAAACGCACTGGGATCGTGAGAAATCCAAGCAAAACCATCGAGCATCCTGTAGATATTTTTGGGGTGCGCTGGAAATTTCGATGCTCGTTTTGGGGACCTTCCTGGGGGCCACCTAATGGATCTGTTCGACTCAGGTTCGACTCAGGTTCGACTCAGGTTCGACTCAGATTCGACTCAGGTTCGACTCATGTTCGACTCAGGTCTGACTCAGGTTCGACGCAGCTTCGACGCACGAGTGGAGCGAGGGGCTCCAGGAAGGTCCCCAGAATGAGCATCTAAGGAAACTCTGAAGAGCTCGTGCGACAGACTCCCACACAGTGCTTGCCCTTCTGTGTGCTCCCTTCTGCTCTGTCGAACGAGGCCCGGCTGGCGGTCCGGCCGCTCCGCGGCCGCCCCTCGCCGGCACCCGCTCGGGCATGGCTGGCCCTCCGGCCGCTTTGTCGCCGCCGTCGCCGCCGCCCGCCGCCGCAGCATCTCGAGGAGGAGGAGGAGGAGGATGAGGAGGATGAGGAGGAAGAGGAGGAGGAGGAGGAGGAGGAGGAAGAGGAGGAAGAGGAGGAGGAGGAGGAGGAGGAAGAGGAGGAGGAGGAGGAGGATGTGCGGGCCAACGCCCTGCCTCCTGGGGATGTGCAGCGCCGGTGGAGCTCCCTAGGGGGCCATGGAACGGGTGAGGGGTGTGTCGACATAGGTGGGGCGGCCACATGCGAACGCGGCCGCCGGGGCCTTCGGCGGAGCTCACAATGGGGCAATAAAACATGCGTGAGGGGTGTGCGAACATGGGCGGAGCGGCCACATCCGAATATGGCCGCTGGGGCCTTCGTGCCGACATGGGCGGGGCGGCCACATGCGAACATGGCCACTGACGCCTCCGCTGGAGTTCCCTATGGGGCCACGAAACGTGTGAGGGGTGTGCGGAACTGGTTGACTGGTGCAGAGGGCAGAGGTAAGGAGGGGGAGGAGGAAAGGAGAGGAGAGGAGGAGACGCGGGGTGCTGTCTGTTCGAAACGAGGACCCAACACCACAGGATGGTTGGCAACAAACAAGAGCGACGCCGCCAATGAAGCGGCCGAACCTGCAGGGTCGAGTCGATCGACGCGAGGACCCCGTCGGCGGTGGAGGCGAGCTCGGACATCCCTGGTCAGGAGAACGCCAAAGATGCACCAACACCAATCCTTTCCAGGCCAATCTTGGACCCAGGATCGGTGTATACGCCCTCCGCATCAAGCGGGGAGGGCACAAAAACGGATGGCGGGTTCACGTCGCGATGGCGTCAGAGTCCGTTGGTGACACTTCAAGGCTCGTTCGATCTTGAACGATCGGCGCTTTCCGATAGAGCAGATCGTTCGAGACCGGCCGACTCACGACCACCAGGGCGGGCGATTCTGTGAACGCCCGCGCTGGGAGCGCCGCCGCGCCGACGCGGCGCGAAACTGCTGTGCACCGATCCTGGCAGAGCCGATCTTGGCCCCAGAAGCCCCGACCCCTTCCCTTGGGTTATGTCGGGCGTGTCCCCCTACAGGGGGATTTTCGACGAAACAATTTAAAAATACCCAAAAAATACCCCAACAAGGTCAACAAATACTCAAAACATACTACCCCGACTCTTTTTGGAGTATGTTTGGACTACTTTGGGGGTATTTTCTATTTTTCATCCCGGTTGCTTTTTTCACCGGATGCGAACCCTTGGGTTGCTTTTCGTCCCGGATGCAATTTTCACCGTCTCGGGGTCCAAAAATCGGCGGTGGACGGACCTCCCTTTAGTAGACATCCCCTTAGTGAAAACGGCCTGGGACCGAAACCGACGGACCTGGACCCGCAAAAACGACGGCCGCGACGCCCTCTCGCGAACCGAAAACGGCCAATTCCTTAATCGACGTGTCAGGGTAGGAGGTCTGTCCACCCCCGAAATAAACGGGCCTGGTAGGCCGATGTAAGTAAGACAACTCCCAAATCCCCTACCGGGCCTGGCCAGGCCGATCCATTGGGGACCGCTCCCACGTCGACGGGGATGGGGAGCCTCCAGAGGCCTGGTCTTGGGAGGCTCAAAGAGGGCCAAAGACGTCAGAAAAAGGAGGAGGAGGAGGAGGGGGAGGAGGAGGAGGAGGAGGAGGAGGAGGAGGAGGAGGAGGAGGAGGAGGAGGAGGAGGCGAGGAAGAGGAGGAGGAGGAGGAGGAGGAGGAGGAGAAGGAGGAGGAGGAAGGAGGAAGAGGAGCAGGAGGGGTAGGAGGGCCCAGGCCGTTGTCGGTGTGCAGTTCTTGGCGCCCGACGTCCGGAGGCGGAGGAGCTGCTCGCAAGCGAGCCGCGGGCGCCGCGGGCGCCCGCCTCGATGGCCTCCCGCACGGCGAGGCTGCCGTCGTCGGATGGCGTGCCCGGCCGCACGGGCTCCTCGTCGGGGGGGGATTGCTGTCCCGCACCGCGTCCGGACCGCGATTTTTCGGCGGTGCAT